GCATTTGCTGATCCTGAGCATGCTCCATCCTGAGCATGCGTGCAGAATCTCCTGTATTTTACAATACAAAATGCGACCCCCTTCTGTACACCGGCTCCATCTCCTGGACAACCTCGCGCTTCCTGCGCATGCGTGCAGAATCTTTAGCCCGTTAGAACACTCGCGTGCCAACTGGATCGTACATCCGTCGTCGCCGTCGTCGTCGTCGTCGTCGTCGACGTTGCACTCGCTGTGGTTCTACCGAGGGGAGAGATGATCTTTATGGTGGGGTGGCGTGCGGGTGGGAGTGACGGCCACCGCAGGTGGGTTCGCGGTCCAAGTGTACTCGTGGCCGCGCCTAGTAGACCCTGAACCCTAAACCCTAAACCCCACACCCTAAACCCTAAACCCAAAACCCTAAACCCTCAAAACGAAAAACACCACGTATTGAGCAAGCTCGAATGATGCCATTGCGAAAAAACAGCGAAAAGGAGCGAACCTCGAAACTTTTGATGGCGAGGGTGGCGGAGGTGGCGGGGGCGCGGGCACGGCGGCGATGGTGAGATTGTAGAGGATGGGGGGGATGATGGGAGTAGCGGGAGTGCGAGGATGATAGGAGTCGTGAAGATGGTGAGGGCGGTGGGGGTGGTGAGCCCGGCGGGAATGGCGTTGATGTTCGACCGTGTCGACGGTGGAAATGATGAGAATGGTGATGACGGTGACGACTTCAGGGGTCGTGGCGATAGAAGGGCTTGCGAGAGAGGCGAGGAAGGCGAAGCCGGCGAGGACGGAGGGGAGTGCGGAGGCGGCGAACGCGCCAATGAAACCGATGACGCGAAGACGATGCTTTCCAAGTCGGAGTGCAGGGCGCGCCGCGGGGCTCTCCGCGGCGCTGCCGCGGGCCTCAGAGAGCCGCGTCCGACGCCTCCGCGACGAGGCGGCCCTGCGCGGGCAAGGGCGCCGCGCTGTCGAGCCGCTCGTAGAAAGCGAGGTAGACCTTCGTCAGCGCCGCGGCGCCCTGCCCGCCGCCGAAGAAGGCGATCTCAGCTTCGGTGGCGACGCGGGAGGCGTCGTCGTCGCAGAGCCACCAGGTGCCGTTGTACTTCGCGAAGGCGCAGTAGCGGCCCTTGCGGGCGGTGGCGCCCCTGCGCACGACCGCAGCCTTCAACGAGAAGATCCCGACGCTGTCCGGGCCGCGCGCCTCGAGGACGGCGTCGGCTGCCACCGGGTGCGGCGCCGCGCGGCCGAAGCTGTCCCAGCGCACCAGGTGAAGCAGCAGGATCTCCGGGAAGCAAGTGACGCGGTGCGTCTTGAGCACGCTGGCACGGTGCGCGAGGAAACCCGCGCACGGGCACTGCCAGTCGCCCACCTCCACCGGGCACGGAGCCTCGATGTAATCCGCCAGCGCAGCGCGCGCCGACGCAGAGGCTCGGCGGCCGTCCGCGACCGCAAGCGGCAAGGAGAGAATCGCGAAGGGCTCGGCGCCTGTAGCGTCTCGAGAAGCAGGGCAGTCAGGGCTCGACAACCGCGGCCAGTCGACCCCGCGGCACAGGTCCGCGAGCTCCGAGCCATCGTTCTGCAACAGGTTCAGCTGCAGGAACTCCTGCGCGTCCTCCTGCTCGCCGTTGCGCCAGCCCGCGAAGAGCTCGGGCTCGAGCGCCCCGCGGGCGCGCCAGGCTGCTATGGCCGTTCCCGCCAGCTTGTTCCCCTGTCGCAGCAAGTCGAACAGGCCCTCCTCAGGCTCGTCGCCCAGAGCGCCCAGCGTCGCGGCAATCATCCGCTGCGCTGGGGCCAGCGGGAAGAGGGCCTGCAGCAGGGAATTCACGTAGCACGAGTTCCCCACGCTGCGGAAACCGCAGGGGCGCCGACGCCCGAGCGCTCCGCCCAGGCCGCTTGAGGCGGCGCGCCCCGAGCCAGTCGCGGCCCCCGTCGCCGATCCCATCGCCTGGCTAGCGACGCTTCGGCTGGCGACGCGGCCACCTGGCTGAGACGTCAGCGGCGCCGCCGCGCTCTGTGCCCCCGCGCTGGCCGCGGCGGGCGCGTTGGCGCGCGCGCCGCCGTCGGCGCCGGAACCCGCGGCCTCGCGGGCGACGCCGGGCCCCGCGGCCTGGGCGCCGCTCGCGGCCTGCGCTTCCTCTTCTGCGCCGCTCGCGGCCTGCGCGAGGTCGGCGAGCCGCGGCCTCTTCAGCGCCGGCGGCGCGCCGGGCTGCCGGGCCGGCGGAAGAGGCGGCGCTCGAGCCGGCCGTTTTGACAGCGGAGCCCATTGTCAAATGGCCCCCAAGCGCTCTCCCTGGAGGTGCCCCTGGAACCTGTTTGACAGTGGGGCCCGCTGTCAAATGGCTCGGAGGCCCCCCTCCCGGGGAACCCCCCTGGAACCTTTCTGACAGTAAGGCCCGTCAAATCGGCGGCCCCGCAGTCCAGTGGTTAGCTCTCCGGCCTAGAATCTGGAGGTCATTCTGGCTTAGAATCTGAACGTCGCTGGCTCGAGTCCCGAACGCCCGCCAGTTGTCAAATTATCCCAGCGCGACCCTACCTAGCAGTTGGAGCCCCTAGGAAAGCAGCATAAGCTAAGCTAAGCTAAGCTAAGCTAAGCTAAGCTAAGCTAAGCTAAGATAGCTAAGCTAAGCTAAGCTAAGCTGAGATAAGCTAAGCTAAGCGAAGCTAAGCAGCGGTAAGCTAAGCTAAGCTAAGCTAAGCTAAGCTAAGCTAAGCTAAGCTAAGCTAAGCTAAGCTAAGCTAACATGCGATAAGCTAAGCTAAGCTAAGCTAAGATAAGCTAAGCTAAACTACGCTAAGCTAAGCTAAGCTAGGCTAGGCTAAGCTAAACTAAGCTAAGCTAAGCTAGGCTAAGCTGAGCTAAACTAAGCTAAGATGAGACAAGGAAAGCTAAGCTAAGATAAGCTGAGCTAAGCTAAGCTAAGGTCAGCTAAGGTAAGGTAAGCTAAGCTAGGCTAAGCTAGGCTAGACTAAGCTAAGCTAAGATGAGATAAGCTAAGCTAAGCTAAGCTAAGCTAGGCTAAGCTAAGCTAAGCTAAGCTGAGGTAAGGCAAGTTAAGCTAAGCTAAGCTAGGGGAACCCAGGGGGCGCAACCGGGGGAACCAGGGGGGCGCAACCGGGGGAACCGCCCGGGGTGGGTTACACTGCCCGCCCCCTTTAGCAAATTATCCCAGTGCGACCCTACCTAGGAGTTGGAGCATTCAGGAAAGCAACAGCTAAGCTAAGCTAAGCTAAGCTAAGATGGGGTAAGCTAAGCTAAGCTAAGCTAAGCTAAGCTAAGCTAAGCTAAGCGAAGCGAAGCGAAGCTAAGCTAAGCTAAGCGAAGCGAAGCGAAGCTAAGCTAAGCTAAGCTAAGCTAAGCTGGGCTAGGCAAAGCTAAGCTAAGCTAAGCTGAGCTGAGCTAAGCTAAGCTAAGCTAGGCTAGGCTAGGCTAGGCAAAGCTAAGCTAAGCTAAGCTAAGCTAAGCTAAGCTAAGCTAAGCTAAGCTAAGCTAAGCTAAGCTAAGCTAAGCTAAGCTAAGCTAAGCTAAGCTAAGCTAAGCTAAGCTAAGCTAAGCTAAGTAAGCTAAGCTAAGCTGGGCTAGGCAAAGCTAAGCTAAGCTAAGCTGAGCTGAGCTAAGCTAAGCTAAGCTAGGCTAGGCTAGGCAAAGCTAAGCTAAGCTAAGCTAAGCTAAGCTAAGCTAAGCTAAGCTAAGCTAAGCTAAGCTAAGCTAAGCTAAGCTAAGCTAAGCTAAGCTAAGCTAAGCTAAAGCTAAGCGAAGCTAAGCTCAGGGTAAGTTAAGCTAAGCTAAGCTGGGCTAGGCAAAGCTAAGCTAAGCTAAGCTGAGCTGAGCTAAGCTAAGCTAAGCTAGGCTAGGCTAGGCTAAAGCTAAGCTAAGCTAAGCTAAGCTAAGCTAAGCTAAGCTAAGCTAAGCTAAGCTAAGCTAAGCTAAGCTAAGCTAAGCTAAGCTAAGCTAAGCTAAGCTAAGCTAAGCTAAGCTAAGCTAAGCGGGGAACCCAGGGGGCGCAACCGGGGGAACCAGGGGGGCGCAACCGGGGGAACCGCCCGGGGTGAGTTACACTGCCCGCCCCCTTTAGCACACAAAGTAAGAACCCTTCTAGGCAGAGCCTAGGTAGGGAATTATCCCTTTAGCAAATTATCCCAGTGCGACCATACCTAGGAGTTGGATGCCCGACTGGACTTGGTAACATTGTATATCTACGGGAGAGTTAGCGCAGCCGCATCCTTGAGCGAACAATGGTCGCGGGAAGAGGAGCGAGTAGGGAGGAGGAGAAAATGGAGGGGGAGGGAAGGAGGCTTCCTTCGGGCGGCCAATGACCTGACTGATACATGTCGGAAGGGCCTCATCATCGTATTCTTCCAACCTCCTCATCCTCCCTTTTCCTCCTCGTTGTGTCTCATCCACCTCCTCTTCCGCTTCCTCCTCCTGGCAGGCATCTAAAGATTGCTGCCACAAACCGAATTTGCTGGTATTTCTGCCGGCGCTGATTGTGAGGATGAGGTGAGGTAGGAGTGAGAGTAAGTGGACGCTGATTGTGACGATGAGGAGGCGTAGGAGGGAGAAGACGCGAGGAGGCGATGAGGGCGCTGATTGCTCCTTCCGGCGGTGGGCGGCGTGCGGCGGGAGGAGACGCCGGACGCCAGGGGGAACCCGATTTTGTTAATTCTTCGGGCGTTGCCGGAGCGGGTCGGGGTGCCCCGCAAAAGCTGTTCCAAGAGCTGTGGATGATGGGCCCCTGAACTTGCCTGCCTGCCAACCTTGCCAAGAGGACAAGCTAGGTGCGCTCACGTCATATCTGTCGTCCTAGACCTCCCTCCAATCCCTTACCATGGCGCTGATTTTTCTCTATCCGCGGACGCGTGTCGTAGCGGACCTGTGGCTCCGCGCGCGCGTACGTAGTGGGTGGTGGTGCGCGTGTGTGCGTGAGTGTGCGTGGTTGTGGTGTGGTGGCGGTGGTGGTGGTGGTGGTGTGTGTGTGTGTGCGTGTGCGCGTGTGCTGTGGTGTGACGTGGTGTGGCGCCTTTTCCAGGTTAAGTAGTGGGATGTGGCCGCGGATCCGCTTTGCTGCGAGCAAACGGCCGCTCCCCTGCTCCTAGGAAGCGTGCGCAAGCGTTCAGCACTGCCCGGTGTTGTGTGAGTGGTGCAGGTTGTGCAACACTGCACAGGGATCAACGCCTCGCTGATCGGCTTCGTGCGCGAGGGCTGGTTCGTGCAGCACGCTGTGCAGCGCTGCTGATCACAAGCTGTTCAGCATTGTGATGAGGACCCTGAGCGGCGCATCAAGGGAACTCAGGCACTGGTGCCGCAGTGGGATGGCGCCCCAGTACGCGACACTTTGCAGCCGTCGTGGGGCTCTCCTGGTTCGTCGTGTGCTCGGACGCGGCCCGCTTCCTGGAGGACATGTGCCCGGCGAGCGTGGTGAGGAATAGCATTCGTCTGAGGCAGCCCTTCACTGCGTCGACCTCCGTCGGCTGCAACAGCTGCACGGAGTCCACCATGAAGGATGCAGGCTGTTCAGCGCTGCCCGCTTGAAGTACCGACGATATCAGCACTAAGGCTGCCTGTTTCTTGTTCGCCTGCGTGCGGGGCGGATCCAGCTTGAAGTCTTGTAAATTGTTCAAGGTGCAGAAGGAGGTTAGCTGGACGCCGCGGGCATCGTTCGCGTCATGCAGCAGGTCCTTAATATTGTTTGTGGTGATCTTGTAGCCGCCGGTCCCCGCTTCTTGAAGGCTCGATGGCTGCGATGCCTCCACGAGAGCAAGCACCTGTGAACAAGGGCGAAAAATCGTGGTGGCTGCGGGCACGTTCGCAAAACTGGCTTTCAAGCTCTCCGGGATGTCTGGCACGATGCTCTCCGCTGCGAGCGTGTAATGCGGAGACTTCCGGAGCATGTGCAGAGCTGCGGGCATCACGACGTCAGATGTGGTGTTCTCGGTATTCAGCAGGGGAAGCAGACGAGCCGATGCTTCAGTGGGCGACTCTGCTAAGTTTTGGCAGTCTGCGTCGACGATGCGAACGTCGACTTGGACGGACGGGTGCTCGGCGCTGTCCTGTGCAGCAGTCGCGGTCTTGAGTTGTCGGATGATTTTCACTGAAGCCATTTGCGGGAACCACACCCTGCCAGCAACGAAAGCTGCTTCGAAGTTGTCTGCGTCATCGAAGCCGCTGAGTTTGAGAGCGGCCGCCTCCTGGATGTACAGCGTGAGCGTGCCCGTGCAGTCGCGGACCGTCACTGGGAACCAGATGCGTTTGCCATCGTTGGTGCGGATGCTGCTACCCGCGGGCGGCTCTTCGACGCGGACCCAATTTAACTGCCAGAACGTCTCCTTCGCATGGTCGAGAGCTTCCACGCCTGTAGTCACGGTGTTCGCAATGGGCTTGAAGAGGGCGCACATTGTCTCCGTGGCAAGCTCCGTTGAAAAGTCTCTGGCGGCCCAGTCCTCAAAGTGCTTGACGGCAAAGCTGGCGGTGTCAGCGAGGCCAAGCAAGGCGGTGGCCTCTGCTGCAAGGCGAAGTCCTTTGGCTGTTGTAGCAGCTCCACCGATAATGGTGTTCTTTGTCGTGGTGAAGGAGAAGTTCCCATCATCATCTTGACCACCTTTCACACGAAAGAAGCTCACAGGTTGTGGAGCAGGCTGTTCAGCACTGCCTTCCACGTGTTTTCCCGCCGCGCCATTCAAGAAGACCCAAATGGGGGGCTCACCAGCGTTCGGGGTAGTCGCCCGGTCGGTGAAGACGGCCAGCGGCATCGTGCGAACGCGGTCTCCGGACTTAGATCCGTCGATGATCTCTACGTCGAAGACGACGCGGTTCCCCGATTTGCCCGCGGGCCGGAGTGGGCCCACCGATTTGACCAGCGCCGTCACGTCGAAGAACTGTTGGTTGGTGAGGTTTGCACAATCTGCGATTGTCGCGGGAGGCTGAGGATAGCAATCTTTGGTGTCCTTGCTGTTCAGCAAAGGACTGAAGACTGTGTCGGCCAAGTTCACGACCGTCTGGATGGGGGCGTGAATGTACTGTTTCTTCGCGTCGTTGACGATGGACACTTTCGTCATCATGAAGGCGAGGCCGTCGGATAGCTTTTCCTGAACCGCGCGGAACTTGTTGTCGGAGCTTTTGTTCCACCGCATCTGGCCGATGCAGTACTCAGTGGGATCCTGTTGCGACACGAAGGTAACAGAGAGAGTCTTCCCAGTTCTCGGTTTGCCATCCCACGTGTAGTCGTAGGTATCAACGAGGGCTTGTTGGACAACAACGGCCCACGCCCCGAACTGTGCGCTCCTTTTGTTGAGCTCGCGCAGGGGCAGTGAGGCAGGCTGTGCAGCACCGCCACTTGCTGCCGCAGGCTGTGGAGCAGGCTGTGCGGCTGGAGCTGCTGCAGCCGCAGGCTGTGCAGCTTTGCTTTTGGGAGTCTGGCGCGTCGTCACCATGGCTGCGGCAAGGGCAGGCGGGCGCGGGAGGGCGCTGCAACTGATGGTCCTTGGGCAAGAACACTAGCACTGACGCGGCAGACATGGGAGGGCGCCGGTAAAAGCAGCACCCCTACTTGAAGCATCAATTGTGGGGCAATGTAAGAGCATCAAGAGAGAGCTAAGAGGGCCCCAAGACGGCCCAAGAGCGCTCCAAGACGGTCCACGATGGCCTCAAGACGGCCCAAGAGTCCCCGAAGACGCCCCAAAAGTGCCTCAAGAGACCCCCAAGAGGGCTTGATGAGGCAGAATACACTGTTTTTTGTTTCACGGGTTTTTGATGAAGTTTAGGGTTCTCGCCTTTCGGGCTTCCGACGGCCCAAGACGGGCCGAGAGGGCCTCCCAGATCGCCTCAAGACGTTCCGAGAGACCCCTCCCCCCAAGAGGGCCCGAAGACGGCCCCAGAGGGCTTCGAGGCGGGCTCTTGCTTGGGCTCTTGCTTTTGCTTTTGCTTGGGCTCTTGCTTTTACTTTTGCTTTTGCTCTTGCCTTTGCTTTTGTTTTTGCCTTTCCCTGCTGCAAGGCGCGATCCGCGAGCTGCGAGGCGTGAGCCGCTCGCTCACTCATGGAGCGCCCTCGACTTGGACCTCGTCCTGCGGGGGCCCAGTGCCCGCGCGGGCCCGGCGGGGGCTCGGCGGGGCGGCCTCGACCTGGACCTTGACCAGCGGGGTGCTGGCGCTCGCGCGGGCCCGGCGGGGGCTCGGCGGGGGCCCGGCGCCCGTTCACTGCGGCGCCCGCGCGGGCCCGGCGGGGGCGTGCCCTCGTCCTCGTCGTCTCGTCGCTGCTCGTGCGCATCCATGAACCGCCGCATTGCGTCTGCAGGCTGTGCAGCACTGCAGATTGGGTGTTGGATGCCGGAGAGCAACACATGTTTGTTGCCGATGATATGGAACAAGTACGCGGAGAAAGCGCTTCGTCGGAGCCGGTGCGCTTTCTGGGCATCGCCTTGGCACCTCCCGGTGCGCAATCTCTCGTACTCCTGGACCGTTTCCGTGTTCATCCACGACCGATAGTCGTTCATCCACTCCTTGTGGATCTCTTGCATGTGGGAACTCGTGAAGATCGCGTCGGAAGCCAGGCCCGGCGTGCGGCGCAGTTGATTGGCACGCTGCTCTTCGACGACCCGCAAGAACTCCTCCAGCTTCTCGGTGATGCGCGGAGCAGCTGCCGCCTCGAAGGACCCGTCCGACAAGGGTACGATGTTCGCCACCTTGCCGAAGAGGAAGTCTCTGCTGATCTTCTCGAGGACCTCCTGCAACGCTGTGTTGGCGGATGCATCGCTGCCGAAGATGGCGTTGACGCGGGGCGTGGCGGGGCTGCGTACCACGGCGGAGGAGGCGGCAGGCTGTGCAGCGCTGCGCGGCGGGCTGCGCGTCGCGCCCCACGTCAGCGGAGGGTGCGCCGCGGTGATTCGCAGAACCGGCGAAGGCCCATCCGCCTTCTTGAGGTCTCGAGGCACATGCACGTTGGCCACAACGAGGTCATGAGCATCACTCACTCCGTCGAAGAACGCACCAACCTGGGAGTTCGTCTGAACGCTGCGCAGGCCGTGGGTCATCGCGAGGTCGCCGTGCTTGAACTTCAACGGGTGGGAGAAGACGAGCTGCAGTGATCCAGGCTGTGCAGCACTGGAGTCAATGGTGTAGCTGTCACAGATGCTTTGCACCAGGGCGGAGAGCTGAATGACTCCTGTGTTGAAGTCGCCGCCCCAGATGAAGCGATCCCCCGCGCATGCATTGTGGCAAGCAAGGAAGGTGCTCATGCGCTCGTCCACTGTGAACCCTCGTTTTTCCGCGGCGGGCGCATGGCAATTGACGATGGACACGGGCTCCCTGTTGTCTCCAACGAGAACACGGAGGTGCTGGAAGCACCGGTCGGCCTGGCCCAGCACGAAGTCGCTGACGAGCTTGCATTGAAGGACGGCCACTCGATTGGATTTCACGATCGTCGAGTAGTGTCCGTCGACGTACACGCGGACAGGCGTTCCCGCTCTGTCAGAAAGCAGTCCTCGAAACCAGGCGTCGACGTCGCCTCCTGGGATGTTCTCGGCGATGCCCCTGTCGATCTCGCCGAGCCCGCTCAGGCAAAGTATGTCCAGCGCATGAACTTCGAACGCCTTGGCAAGGTCTGATGTCAAACGGCGCTCTTTGATCTGCCAACCTCTCCCACCAATCTCGGACAACTGGATTCCCACGTTGTAGAAACCCACTGTCATATCGGTCGCGTTGGCAGGCAGCGCAGAGGAGGTGGGCTGTGCAGCACCGCTTGATGGCGAGGTGGGCTGTGCAGCACCACCTGGTGCCGAGGCGGGCTGTGCAGCACCGCTGTCGGGGCCTCTCCCAGACGGCGACGCCGACGCCGCGCTGGCCGCCATGGGTTGCGCCGGAGCAACGAAGGCTGCGGTGGGCTGTGCAGCGCCACGCGGCGCCGAGGCGGGCTGGGCAGCATCGCTCTCGGGGCCGCTCCCGGATTCCGACAGGCACACCTCGCGGCCTGCCATGGGTTGCGCCGGAGCAACAAAGTCTGCGGTACGGTGATACAAGGGTCGCTGGAGCAACAATCCAAGGTATCGCGGTATGTATGTATGTATGTATGTATGTATGGAAGTCTGTATGTATGTATGTATGTATGTATGTATGTATGTGTGTATGTATGTATGTATGCATGTATGTATGTATGTATGTTTTATGTATGTATGTGTGCACGAATGTATGTATGTATGTATGTGTGAATGCTACCAGCTCACGCTCCTCCGCGTGCGTACGTTAATCCATGCATCGGCCAGTCCGTACCTACACGGAAGACTGCTGCATTGCACAAGCATGCGAAAGCCTGAACTGACACGGGCTGTGCAGCACCGCGGAAAGTGACGCTCTCATCGCCCGATTTTCTCGGCCGCACTTCCCGCGGCGGTCCGCATGTCCTTGTTCCACCCGAAAGCAGCGTCGCACTCCTCGCGAACGCGGTCGAGCCTGCCGCAGATGAAGTCGTCGAGGAGAGCGTTGTCCTGGCCCGACAACGCGGCCCGCTGATTGGAGTCCCAGAGGATGGCTGCGTGAATCCCACCAGCCCTCTGGGCGTAGGTGGTCTAGAGCAGATCCTCTTCCACCCCTCCCTCTTCCCCCCCAAGAGGGCCCCAAGAGAGCCCCAAAAGAGCCCCAAGACGGCCCCAAGAGCGCCCAAGAGCACTCCAAGAGCGTTCCAAGAGGGGTCCAAGAGGCGATTTTAGGGGCTTCCGAGGGGGGGCGCTAATTAAACCCCCCCTCTTGTTTGATCGACTCCCTCCAAGATGGCCCCAAAAGCGCCCCGAAGGCTCCCCAGAGCGCCTCAAGAGGGTCCCAAGAGGCGCCCAAGATGCCCCAAGGCGCCCAAAAAGCCCTCCAAGAGGCCCTCAAAAGACCCCCAAGAAGCTCCTTCCCCTCCTCCTCCTCCTCCTCCGATTCTTCCTCCTTCTCCGTCCTCCTCCTCCTCCTCCTCCTCCTCCTCTTCCCCCTCCTCCTCCTCCTCCTCCTCCGACGACGACGACGACGACGACGACGACGACTCCTCTTCCATCCTCCCCCTCTCGGGGTCTGTGACAGCTTCCCCCGCCCTTTGTTATTCTGCATGCTCCCCGACTTCCCTGATCACCTCAACTCCCCTGAGCATCGTTTCTGGATGGGCTGGTGGGGATACGCGAAGCGTCAACAATTTTTCTGCCTCGCACGAGTGCTTGCCGAGCTGCGTGGGCGGCGTTTTTCAGAGCTCTTCGCTCCTTCGTCAGGCGTTCGGAGATCTGCGTCCGCTTCTTGTAGTCCTCCGAAGACTTCTCCTCGTCCCAAGCGCGCATGAAGCGCCGGATCGCATCTGCAGGCTGTGCAGCACTGCATATCGGATGCTGAATGGATGCCAGCACCACGTGCTTGTTGCCGATGATCTGGAAAAGAGCCGCCGAAAAGGCACTACGCCGTAACTGATGAGCTTTCTGGCGGTCGCCTTTGCCCGTTCCTTCAAGCCACCAGTTGTAGTTGCGAATGGTCTCGGCATTCATCCAGCTCTCGTGGTTTTCCATCCACGCACGGTGAATCTCTTGCATGTCCTCGTGACTGAACACGGCGTCGGAGGCCAGTGACGGATGCCGGCGCAGATGGCGGGAGCGCTGCTCCTCGACGATCTCCAAAAATGTTTCCAGCTTGTCGACGATGCATGGAACAGTCGCCAGTTCGTAGCATCCCGTCGACGATGCCACGACGTTCGCCACTTTCCCGAAGAGGAACTCGGTGCCGATTTGCTCCAGCACCTCTTGCAGCGGCGCCATGCTGGGGTCGTCAGTGCCGAAGACCGCGTTCACGCGGCGGTGGCGCGGCGGCAGCGCACTGTCGGCGGGCTTCTGCCGAGCAGGCTGTGCAGCGCTGCTCGCAGAGCTGGCTTCAGCCTTTGGCCGCGTTGCCGGGCGCGTGGGCATCGGCCACTCCGGCCGCTCTGCGTTATGCAGTGCCGAGGGTTGCTGGGGGGGTGGCGGCCCCGCACTGCCGGCGGGCTCCTGCCGAGCAGGCTGTGCAGCGCTGCTCGCAGAGCTGGCTTCAGTCTCTGGCTGCGGTGCCGGGCGCGTGGGCATCGGCCACTCCGGCCGCCCTGCGGCGTGCAGTGCCGAGGGTTGCTGGGGGGGTGGCGGCGTCGCACTGCCGGCGGGCTCCTGCCGAGCAGGCTGTGCAGCGCTGCTCGCAGAGCTGGCCTCAGCCTCTGGCCGCGTTGCCGGGCGCGTGGGCATCGGCCACTCCGGCCGCTCTGCGTCATGCAGTGCCGAGGGTTGCTGGGGGGGCGGCGGCCCCGCGCTGCCGGCGGGTTCCTGCCGAGCAGGCTGTGCAGCGCTGCTCGAAGAGTTGGCGTCCGCCTCTGGCCAGGGTGCTGGGCGGTTCGTGTTCCCAAACACTTTGGCGACTACGACATCATGAGCATCACTCGCTCCGTTGAATGAGGCCCCAATCTCGGAATTCACCCGAGCACTGCAGAGGCCGAATGTCACCGCTAAGTCGCCGTGCTTGAATGTTAGCGAATGGGAGAACACCGTTTGCAACGAACCAGGCTGTGCAGCACTGGAATGCACGGTGTAGCGATCATCAATCTTCGCGAGAAGGGTGGCGAGCTGGATGAGCCCCGTGTTGAAGTCGCCGCCCCAGATGAACGGGTCACCAGCGCATGCCTCATGAAATGCGGTGAAGTACTTCAGCCGGCTGGCCACCGTCAGCGGCCGTTTCTTCGAGGAAGGTGCGTGGCAATTGACGATGGAGATGGGCTCGTCGCGCTCGCTCGTGCGAACACGGAAGTGTTGGAAGCACCGGTCCCGCTGGGTTTGCACGAAGTCCCTGATGATCCGGTACTGAAGGACCTGTACCCGATCGGACAGCACGAGAGTCGCGTAATGTCCGTCGGCGTAGATAGCGACAGGCGATACCGCACTGTCGGCGAGCAGCTTGCGGATCCAGGCGCTGACGTCGCCTTCTGGGAGTTTCTCCCCAATGCCCACACCGAGCTCGCCAAGTTCGCTGAGGCAAAGGATGTCCAACGCATGCGCGTCGGCGGCCTTGACGATGTCCGCGGCCAGTTCTTTCTCTGTGGTTTTTGCCCAGTTCCTCGCGCCGACGCGCGACAATTGGATGCCCACGTTGTAGAAAGCCACCGTCAACTCGGATGCGTCGTCAGGCAGTGCAGAAAAGGTGGGCTGTGCAGCACCACCTGGCGTCAAGGTGGGCTGTGCAGCACCACCTGCCCCACTCCGCCATCCTCGGGACATGAGCGTGAGCGGCCGTGTGGCAGGGCCTCCGGTAGTAAAAAACTTGAGCCTCAAATAGCAACAGAGCAGGGGGAGGAGGACGAGGAGAGGGAGACGAGGAGGAGGCGGAGGAGGAGGAGGAGGAGGAGGAGGAGGGGAGCTGTGAGCAGCTCTGCAGCCCGGGGGACCCTATTTTGTTAATTCGCTTGTCTGGGCTGGAACAAGTTGGGTCGTTTCAAGTGTGTCCGCTGTTGCGGCCGCCCACGAGCGAGGTCCATGTTCAACCGAAGTGGCCGTCTAAAGTGTGACCGTTTCTGGGCCCCTCCCCCTGGGCGCGTCCGCAAACGCCGGACTCCTCCTCCTCCTCCTCCTCCTCCTCATCATCATCATCCTCATCATCATCATGATCATTATCATCGTCATCATCATCATCATCATCCTCCTCATCCTCCTCCTCCCCCTTCCTCCTCCCTCTCGTTCTCCTCGTCCTCCTAGTCCTCGTCCTCGTCCTCGTCCTCGTCCTCGTCCTGTGTGCGTCTCGGCTCAGTGCATGGCAGTCCAGTTTCGGAGGCATGGCGGTGCGATTCTTTGGAAAGCTCAAGAAAGGCTATCACCCTGACGAGGAGGGAGTTTCGGTCTTTGGGGGACTTCTGGGGACTTCCCTTCGGGTGTCTGGGTGCCGGTGTGTATCTCCTCCTGGGTCGTCTTGGGGTGCACCTGGAGCCTCCAAGGGCTCTCATGCAATCCACCAGGGGCTTCAGGAGAGGCCCCAGAGGGCCCTCGCAGCGCCCCCAGAGGCTCCCGAGAGGGCCCAAGGGGAGCTATATTAAACCCGGCGGGTTAATATAGCTCCCCCTGGGCCCTCTCGGGAGCATGGGAAAGGGAGGAAGCGTGGGGAGGAGGAGATGGAAGATGAGAAGGACAACGATGTGGAGGAGTAGGAGGAGGAGGGCGTGGAAAGATGGGGACGATTGCAGGAGGAGGAGCAGGAGGGGTGGAGCAGGAGAAGTAGGAGGGGAAGAGGGATTACTAGCAGGAGGAGAGAAAGGACGACGATGACGATGACTATGACTATGACGATGATATGATGAATGATGAATGATGATGACAATTATGATGATGACGATGACGATCATCATGATGATAGTGTTGATGATAACGATGACGATGACCATGGTGATGCTGATGATGACGATTATCATGATGATGGCGACGGGGCTGAACATTCTCATTGGCAGAACGAGGGAGGATACAGCAGGTATGAGGGAGGAAGCATGGGGAGGCCGAGGAGGAGGAGAAGGAGGAGGAGGAGGAGGATTGGTAGGAAGGGTGAGGATGGGGAAGGAGGGGTGAGCAGGAGAAGGAGGATAACGAGGAGGGAAGGAAGAGCAGGAGCAGGAGGGGGTGGGTGAGTGACTACGGGGGGGCATCAGGAGGATAAAAAGGTTGAGCAGGAGAGGAAGAGAAGGTGGGTGACTACGGGGGGGCATCAGGAGGATAAAAAGGTTGATAAGGAAGAGAAGCTAAGTGGGGACGAGGATGAGGAGGAGAGAGAGAGAGAGAGAGAACGTTACGGATGCCATTCGCTTGAATGGCTACCATTCATCTGAATGGCGTCATGAGATAGAAGAGGGCGCCTTCCGTCGCCATTTGTCATTATCCTCGTATTCCACCCCTTCCCCCCCGCATCCCCCTCCCCCATCCACCTCCCACTTCTCTTCCTCGTCGCCGCACCTTCTTCATCTCCTCCCATTCCTTCTCTCCCTCCTCCTCCCCCTCCTCCTCCGCTGCCTCCTCTCCCTGTCCCTTCTCTTCCTTTCCTTCTCTACTTCTTCATCCTCCTACTTGTCCTCCTCCTCCTCCTCCTCCTCCTCTTGTTTCTCCTCCTCGTCCTCCTTCTCCGCCTCTTCCTCATTTTACTCCACCTTCGTCTCCATCCTGCTGACACTTGTCCTGAGAAGCGTTTATTGACCTCAATCAGACCAATGAACATCAACAATTCCAATTTTGCCAGAGGGTGTAATGGGGCAGGGAGCGAGGCACCAGCCCAAACAGCCCAGTGTTGGAGGACTCCAAGAGCGCTCGTGGAGTCCACCAGGGCCCCCATGAGAGCTCCCGGAGGACCCTGGGAGCGCTCCAAACGGGCCCCGACAGAGCTATATTGGACCCGGCGGGTTTACTTTTTGCCGCGTCGGGCTCATCGTGGCTCCCACTTGGAGCCTCCCACGGGCTCTCATGCATGCCACGTTTTTCGTTTCAATCGCTTCGCTCGGCCCGTAGCCTCGCCCATGAATGAATCGAATGCGCGTTTTTTGCCTTCTTGGGACTTCTTCGGGGCCTCCTGGGGCCTCCTGAGGAGAAGGCTCGAATTTCCGGTTCGGCGTTCTTCTGTGGGACTTCCCTTCGGGTGTCTGGGGGCCGATGTGTAGCTCCTCCTGGGTCGTCTTGTGGTTCACCTGGGGCCTCCAAGGCCTCTCATGCATCCCACTAGGGGCCTCAGGAGAGGCCCCAGAGGGCTCCCGCAGCGGCTCTAGAGGCTCCCGAGAGGGCCCAGGGGGAGCTATATTAAACCCGGCGGGTTTAATATAGCTCCTCCGGGGTCCTTTTGGGGTCCACTTGGAGGGCTCCAAGGGCCTCGTGGAGCCCACCAGGGGTCCCAAGAGAGCTCCCCGTGGTCTTGGAAGCACCCGAGAGGGTCCAGGAAGAGCTATATTAAACCCGGCGGGTTTAATATAGCTCCCCCGGGGTCCCTTTGGGGGTCCACTTGGAGGGCTCCAAGAGCCCTCGTGGGGATCACCAGGGGGGTCAAGAGAGCTCTCCCAGGACCCTGGGAGCGCTCCAAACGGGTCCCAACAGAGCTATATGGAACCCGGCGGGTTTAATTTTGCCCCTTCTGGGTGATTGTGGCTCCCACTTCTCCCACTTGCAGATTCCCAAGGCGTCTCATGCATGCTACTTTTTTTTTGTTTCAATCGCTTCGCCCGGCCCGTAGCCTCGTCCACCAATGAATCGAATGCACGTTTTTTGCCGCCGTGACCAGGCCAGCTGTGTTCCAGCAGGGTCGTTGGGTAGAACGTGACGTCGATGTTCGTGGGCCTGCGGTGCTCGGACCAGAGGCGTAGATGTTTTTGCAAGGTCTCCGCCGGAAGGCCCGTGATGTATTGCCGACGGATGTTGACCAAGAAAAGGACGTCAGACTTCCGTCTGGATTTCTCCAACGCATCCGCGGCAGTCTGGACCGCCTGTCGGCGCCAATCTTGACTGGATGTAGCGCCGCGTGAATTGCAGAAATCATTTACGGTCTTCCACTCCCGAGAGTCAAAGATGAGGGCCTGTTTGCGTGCGCAATACATGATGTCTCTACCAACGGTTGTGACCGGAATGCCTGGCGTCGCTGCCATAGGGTGTTCTTTCTGCACTGAAGAATACAGTCTACAGGTACCGAACTCACCATGCCGTTTTCGCTGAACTTTGTCGAGCTCACATAGTTGAAATTGGATATCCGGTAAAGTTAAGTCATAGTCTGGCCACAGCTTCTGGGCCTCAACCCATACCTGCTTTGCTTCGTTAAAGAAGAATGAGGCTGCATCCGACGTTTCGTCGTGGATCCTGTGTTGCACACGACGCTTGAACATCCTATTGAGACCCCGGCGAGCGCCGGGGCCGATAGGGCACCACGTGTCTCGGTCAATACAGTTATCAACCCACTGTGTCCCATTCCACTCCATGAACAGCGGCCCCCGGACAAGGTCCAGCATAACTTCTTTGGCGCTGAAGCCAAGACCTCCAAAGCCCCGCAGAAGCATAAGATCTTCAGTTACAGATTGCCACGAGTGTGTGCGGGAAGCAGTGTCTACCAAAGTTCCCTTAAACACCCATAACGGACGCAATCTCTGTATGACACTGCGGTAGCGCGACCTTGCTGTCTCTTCCGTGCTTCGTTCAGCTCCGCGGTCTCCTTTAGGAGGGTAGAAAGCGTCTGTAAAGGCAAAAACGCCTTTCTTCCATAAGCTGACAGCAGCGT